ATAGCAATCCGATTTTATCAACAAAGACACACCACCACCACCACCACCACCACCACCACCAAGTTTTATGCTGATGCAACACCCTTATCTCAATTTAAAACTCTACTTTCTTTCTTTTTTTAATTGATAGTGGTGCAGCTGTAATCCATGAAAGTTGAAAAAGGAACTTGGTAGAAGGAAACGTATAAGTATCAAATTTTGAACGAATTAACCATTGTTAAATTTAAGAGTGATGAATTCATGCTGCAGTTCAGGCTAGGGTGGGTGGAGGGCTACTGAGGAAGAAAGGAAGGAGGGAGCTAGGTCAAGAAAAATAAGATAAAAAGTTACGAAGTGACCATGATTTTTTTTAGAGGTATCCCATCCAAGCAATATAGAAACAATGGTATTATCTTTGCTTCTGTCAACTAGAATATTATATCAATGCTGAATTTAGAAGATGCTAATCCCACTTTCATAATCTGATGACTCTCAATAAAAGTGGAAAGTGGTCCATGAAAGCACCTAATCCTTTTGTACTTTGCCTTGACTTATCAGCAGTGTCTCCTACAATCCTCACCCCTCGACCCAAGAGGAAAAAAGAAAAAAAGATTAAGAGAGGGAGAGAGGATATTCGGATTAGTTTCTAATCAGGCTCGCGCATAAAAATTATAACCTTCTGATCCGTTCTTCCTATTATTAGTAATAATCACGAATTCAGTGCCTAATAATTTCTTGTCATATATCAATGGATGGTTCTTTTAATTGAAAAAGAGACGTGTTTTCATTCTTCATGTTATTTGGGTTCGAATGTAATCACTAAGTTTAACTTAAATAAACCAACTTGGATAGGCTTGAGGAGGATGTATCCCAAAAAAGCCCCGAAACCTATTGCCCCTAAATAAATTAAAAAAAAAGATAGTTAAGCTTAATCAATTGGTAGCATAATGTGTCATGTCAAGTGCTCCACAAAAAACGGTAGGTAAAATATATTAATTTTACATAGAATAAAAAAGAAAAAGTTGTTGGGCATATAAATGTTGGTTTTGTGTATTGCAATTAGTGGTTTTTGCAAAAAAAGAAAGATAATGGACATGTGACGAGTGATATCAAATCTAATAATTGATTTATTTGATTTCATAACGTTTTAATGAGATAAATAAAATTGATTAATTGATCATTTAATAAAATATTAAAACAAAATACAATCATAATTAATATGACAATTTAGTAAGGTGTCTAGGTAAGATACGATAACAAAGCTTAATCACATCAAACACTCTAAAAAAGAGCAAAAAAGATGATAATAGTTACGAAATTATCACGAGTTTAAGTAAAAAAAAATGTCATGTTAAATGCCAAAAAGAGTAAACAGTGCATTACTCCCACATTTCAAAGGAAAAAAAAAAAGATCATTGGTGCTGCGCACTTTAAGAAATTGATTTTGTGGGAAAAAAGTAATGGCCCGAATGCTATGGAGTGCCGCCAACCATCCTAAAGAATGGGACGTTTGTATTGGGAATGAAACAACAGCCCTATCTTCCACTATATAGATACTTGAGCACAAATGCACAAACCGCAACTCCAGAAGCCAAAGTAGCCCATTAGTAGACACAGTTAAATGAACACAGCATGATCTAAGAATAAAATATCTTGCCATTTCGCATTATCTAAATTATCATGCCATTTTTATCAGATTCCTTGCAGTTTCCACGTGGTATACCAATGGAAGCTAATTTCAAAGTACATTCTGTTGCGCCTGAAGCAATAATCACAATAATACAAAAGCAATAGACAACAATCAATAATCAAATGCGCAGAAAAAATAAAGCACACCAAGATTTACGTGAAAAAACCTCCAGTGTAGAGGGAAAAACCACGGCCCACCAGAAAAATCTTCACTATCAAATAATAGTTATACAAAGTTCTTCTCTAACTAAAACTAGAGCTAATCAACAACTAGAGAAACAATTGGAGAAATCTTACCAAATAAGTGACTCAACAAATACACCATGGATTTGTTCCTAGAGAGCTTCAAACCCGATCTTCACCGTTCAGAATGTATAACTCTGAATCATAAATCTCCTGACAAGGTTCAAACTCAATCGGACCAGGGATCGACTTCCGTTTAACCAACTCTCCCTTCTCCTTTTTCTCTCTCTGTTTTTCCTGGCTTTTCTTTTTTCTCTGTTTGGTTGTGGACACACACCTTAAACAACCCCACCTCTTTTTTATTAAGTAGCTAGGGCTCTGTGTAAAATAAAAGATCAAGGCCCATAATCTTTACTTAGTCCAAAACCACTTACATGAGACTGGACCCCATTTTCCTAACACATTCGGTGTAACTAGTGAAGCATTCGTTGGTACAGCCATGCCTACAAAGAAAGGCCAATCATCGGGAAATGAACAAATGGAGGCAAGCATTACTACTGGAAATTCAGACAATTCCAAGAACCAGAAATTGCTGACAAGTTCACTTTTGTGATTGGATATGGCCTGTGTGTGATTGAACATAAGCCAACAATCTAAAACAAATTAGATTCATCAAAACTGCTTTCTGGAGAAGAAATTGAAAGCAAAGATAAGTTACGCAATTGTGAATATGACACAAATTTGTAATATATATCTTCTCTCACGTTTTCCTTGATTTTCATTGTAAAAAATATTCAGGGGAACAAGCGTCTGGCAAAGAGAAAGAGATCGAGGGATATAATTTTAAGTGAGGTGGCCACAATTTTGGTGGTTTCCACATCATGATCCTTCAATTCTTTATTTATTTATTTATTTTTTAGGGGATCACTCCACTTATAAGGGCCCTTAAAGCAAGGAGCCAGCAGGCCGATCAATTCCTGTCAAATTTCACTGTTTTATCTTAGCTCTTTGTGCCATTCTGGAAACAGTTCTAACATCAAAACCACAAATATGATGTTTTTAGAATTAACAGAGGCGCATGATGTCATATTCCCTTTAAATATATCTCTCCTTATCATATTTTTCATAGTGATTTAGCATATTGCCTTGACCTGTAGTAACCATCAGTTAAGCTGTGAATCAAATTGAAAATGAAAGTAGACCCAAATTTCTGCATTCATTGGAGCTTTTAGTGAATAACCTACAGATACAAAGCCAACCTTTTCATGGCACATATCAACCTTTAAAGGAGGTTTATCAGCTGATCAAAATTGTTAACATGAAAGCTGACCATATCATTTCATTAAACCCTGAAAATTACACTGCAATTAAACACATGGAAACCATCCTCATTTCATAACAAACTTGACTTTAATCAATTGCAATATAAATATAAATGCAAGGGTCAGATTTGTTTCCACAGGATATCCTAAGGTCCTCTAGCTTTAGGTGTTCTTGTCAGGCCATATATTTCTTGAACAAAGTTCCTAGAATTTTAAGCACCAAAAGGTTAATTAGTTATATTTACTTAACCATATGTATTCAAGTTTGATATTACTACAGAAATTAAAATTTATCAGTTCAATCTTAGCATTTTCAAGTCAGTCGAACTGAACTCTTAATTGTGCAAAATCAGCATTATCCAACACAAAGAGAAAATAAAATGTCAAATCGAATAGATTTCTTCAACTTTGGATGTTAATACAAAAATTTATAGTGTTTATTTGATAAGTATAAGTGTCACACCTCCTTTACTTTTCGTCTTGTTATTGTCGGCTCAGGAACACTAGATGTAGAACCAGTTGCTATAAAAAGATCAAGTGAAGCAATCTCTGAAAAGGTCAACTGATAGGCTATATCTTTCACATGCGTGAAGAAACTTTATGAGAAGCCAAAACCTTTCAGTAACCTTTTTGCAATCATCTTTATAATTGGCTAAACAAAAGAAATTTCTATGTAGCATGAATGAAACATTAGCTAAACATTTATCCAGTAACAACTTCGGGCAAAATATTCAAGTTACTGTCATGCAGTGGCTATATTTGGTGGTATCTGCTCAACAGCTCCAGTCCTCATCATATAATCAAGGGAAAAGATCTAAAATAGACCAGCAAGATTCCAAAATTAGGCTGCTAGGGGCACTGCAAAAGACCAGCTCCTTTTTCTGCCTCCTGAAGTAGGATGTAATTTTTTCTTTTTTTTGTTTTTGCAGATGACAAATGAAATCAAGTAGAATGTTGACCTTGTAAGCATTTAACAATAGGTTTCTTAGAGTAACATCTTACTCCATCTTCTTTAAAGAAAAAAAGCTCACTTTTCAAATCCAATGGCCCAAAACACTGCCCTCCTATTCCTTGCTTTTCAAGTTTTGTCCTATTCTTTCCCTTTTCTTTACTTAGCTTCTGCATCAATGGCCTTTATTAAAGTCGAGGGACACAAACGTCAATTCCTCAAGTTGAATGGATGGAGGAAGATGATCTAGGGGCTTCCATTGCCTTATTTCCCCTTATCCAATCAAGTAACAACTCAGTTAATCTTTCTTTCTTTTTTCTTCCTCCTTTTCTATAGTGTTTTCTTTGCAATTCTGTTTTTGCCACTTTAGCCAACGCCAACAAGTGAACACCATTAAAATTTCCTATAATCATCTTACCTTAGAACTTTCATAAGTGAACCCAATTATAGGACACCATATCTCCGCTGTCAAATTTGGGTAAAGAATTACCAGTATTTTTTATGGGACAGACTTTATTTTGCACTTAATTTGTATTTGTGATCAGACACTTATTTTTTTGATACAATGAGACTGCAGTATGGAGATAAGGGACTGGGATATAAGAGCAAAGATTTGAACTTTAAATTTATTAGATATCATCTCTTAAAGATGATTGTATGATCGATTGAACTAAGTTCCGGATTGAGACACTCAATTTGCTATAAACTAATGATTTTATTAGTTGACATTGAAGCAACAAGACTTGAAATTTCCGTCAGCAGATCAATCTATCACTCAGATTGTTTGGCTATAGTGGCTGACGTCAGATGCACAAGGCTCCTATCACAAATGAGTATGCGCGCATTACAGCAGGAAATTGTTAATATGCAATAAATCATCATATTATTATATAATTAAAAGCAAAAAACAATCAGAGCCTCTTGACAATTGCAAGTATGTTATAGTATATATATGAGTAGTTTACACCTAAGTTTCCATGAACCAGCAGCAATTAAAGTGGAGTTAAATTCCATTTCCAGGAAGAATCAGAGAGAGAAAAGGGAAAAAAAATGAAAATGGTGAAAGATGAAATTCGAAAGGGTCCCTGGACAGAACATGAGGACATCCTTCTGGTCAACTTTGTTCACCTATTTGGAGATCGAAGATGGGATTTTATTGCTAAAGTTTCAGGTTTGAAGGTGTGGCGGGAGACGAACGATAGGTAAGATTTTCTGGAAGATTTACAGGTTTGGACCACTTTGATTTTGTTGTAGGTTTGAATAGAACAGGAAAGAGTTGCAGGTTACGATGGGTTAATTACCTGCACCCTGGTCTCAAAAGGGGAAAGATGACACCCCAAGAAGAGCGCCTTGTGCTTGAGCTTCATTCCAAATGGGGAAATAGGTTTAAGAATATGCAACAAAATCTTAGTTTTTTTGAAGATTGCTTGAACTATTTTCTCTTCAGAATTTTGGTTTCATGAACATATTCATATGCAGGTGGTCAAAAATTGCTCGGAAATTACCAGGACGTACAGACAACGAGATAAAGAACTATTGGAGAACTCATATGAGAAAAAAGGCTCAAGAAAAGAAACGGGCCATGTCACCATCATCATCATCTTCAGTTTGTCATCCCTCACCATCAACTTCTACTAAAGTGGATTCCTTGCCCTTTTCGGGTACTGGAAAGGTAAGTTTTTATGACACTGGAGGTCCAGATATGGCATCTTTGGCAGGAAAAAAAAGTCCAGAATTCGAAGATGAAAAGGGCTACCCCATGGATGAAATATGGAAAGATTTTGATCTGTATGAAGAAAACACAATGATATCTCTGTCTGATAACTACAGTGAAGGTTGCAATTTTTCCTGTCCTTCAATGGCTTCTCCACCATGGGAGTACTTGTGGGATTCACTGTGGAAGATGGATGAAGAAGAGAGTAAGATGTTCCTCCCAACCAATCAATTTCTTTCTTGTACCGAATATGGGAAAGCATCTTTAACCGGCTAATTAGAATTCATTTATTTGTTCATACGTAATACTAGTATTTCCTAGGGTCTCTCTAACCTGTATATCTGGGTTTTCTTTAAGCTTTATGATAAACAGTTTTCTTATCTCATCCTGCATATCACTGTAATAATCTCGTTGCTGTAGTCTATGTCCCGGTGTTTTGTGTGGTTTAATTAGTCCTCAGAGAGGAAGAGAGAACCTATGTCAAAATCCCCCCTGAGGAGACCATGTATGTTCAATGAATGTATAATACTCATTTGGAATTTAAATTTTGAACCAGCTTGATGCTCTGTAACACTGGAGATTCATCTTCTTTATTAAAAAGGTGTATATAGCCGTGCTACAAGCAAGTACATTCTGACAGCTGAATTCACTCGATCAGAAGTTTCCGAAAAGTTTGCCTTCAGCAAAGTCCAAGGTTGATGAATGATCTCAAAAACCTTTTACACAATGTTATTAATGAAACGCTGTCACTATGCAAAATAAGCTTAATTGCCTTCCGAACTGATCACGAATGAATGTGAGAACTAGTCCTCCAATGAAAAGCAAAAAATTTCTTCTTCTATTCTTCTTGCCTTCTCCATGATTTTCATATCCTGGAAAGAAATTATAGCTCCCCAAACACCATCTTATTACTTTTACCTTCTTTTCAGAAATTCTATGAAAAGGTTTCATGATCAAACACTGAAATTTAGGTGACCTGTCTTGGAAGAGAACAATAATGGTTGGCTTCTTGATGTTTCGTTAAAACCATTGGCAGAACTCCAATCATACATTTTAGCAAACAGTTATCCATTACAGGAAAAAGAAAAGGCAACATTAGTGATAGTGAATTAATTGGGACAGGTTTGGTGGCAAAAAAGCAAGTTAGACACGCATCAATGTGTAGGCTACTTCCACGAATGTGAAAAGCTTATGGCCTTGTATAACGTGGTCCTAATTGTATTGTTATCAGAAATCTTCCTAAATTCATATGCTAATCTAGTGGCTTGCACTAGATTTATTTATATGTTTACTTTTTCTAAAAGTTGGGTATTTTACCCAATTTCTTATCGGAACCAAAAACCAGAAAATGGTTCCAATTGGTCCAAGTTAGAGAGGACAAAAGAAACTAATACGAACGGCCGCTATCAAATTTTTTATTTAGTAGTAAAGGGTTTTTGAGTTTTGTTTAATATTTTAAAATTTTAAGTTGGTTCGAACAAATTCTTATTGCATTCATGTATTTTTTCAACGAATTCGAATTCGGGTAAAACACTCTTATTTCATCTAGTAGGAAAATGACATGCAATTTTAACTAAGGCTGCCAATCATATAACAGGTACTGCGCACTGAAACTGATCTGAATCGTGATTCATGACCACCCAGTCTCAGACAAAGTTGAATAAATTCAATAAAATTACCCCAAGGGCTGAGGACTTTGACATGTCAAATGATTCTATTACTACTAAAGTTTAATTTCAAATCTTTTTAACATCTTATTATAGTCTGTGCAAATATTCTTTACTACGTGAAAAGGAGTGGGTTGGAAACGGCAATTAGAAAGAGATGTCAAATCTGTGATCCAGGGTCGAAGATTTGAAACCATTGAATTCGCTTCTCTTTCTCTTTTTCTCCTTTTGTATTTTTCAGAAAAGGAAGTTATGCTATTCTGGGAATTTTTGGACTATTTTCTCATGTCTAGACAAGCGACAACATTTTATTCTCTACTCTCCCAACTACATACATTAACGTCGGCCAAAAACAATGTACATTTGGCTTGTTTCTCAAAAAGTCAAGCCTTTTGAGGACCTTACTTGACTTTGTACATCAACATATATTTCTCAAAAAGCTTTTGAAATATTCCGTGCTCGAAAACAAGGAATGAGCCCCACAAGGCAAACAACGCCAATTACTATATCTTTTTCCGAAGCAACTTTTAGTGTGTACTTCCTTGGATGAAATGTGCCCCTATTTTAAGAAGATAAATCATATCATATCCTTCTATTCTGCAATTTACATGTTTAGATATTCAGGTTTTTAATGTTTGCAGCTTCTTGTTTATTTCCAGGACATTGTATCTCTGCCAAACTATATAATACTTTTTGTAATACCCAATTAGATTATTACCAAACCTCATTAGTTTATTAAGATATTAATTATTAAAGAAAAGTGAGAGAGGCATTTTAACATAAAAAACTTAGTTATGGTAAGATAAAAATGAAAAGCAAAGCTCTTCTTCCTCATCTTAATTAGAATTAAAGAGTATGAAAAATTAAAATGGATATTTAAAATCAGAAACTACAATCGGATTAATCTCCTAAAGGTAAATATATACCTTTTTTTTATTTAAAAAAATATAATGTTACTTACTATTATTTGAAGTTAAAATTATGAAATATTATGAAATATTTCATTAATCTTCATGATCTATTTGGGAAAACTATTAGGCTTTGTTTTATTCATGCTATTAAGACTTAATAATGATTATTGAATGGATTTTAAAGGCTGAAAGTGGAGATTTAGATTTTTAAAGATTGAATGAAGTTTATTTTTGAATGAAATGTTATTATCTATAATAGTGAATTAAAATAAAATTCTTACTATAAGTATTATACATTGTTGGAAAGTTTGTTGAATCTACTTTTTAATTAAACAAATGGAAATCGATTTTGAGATTTCTATGAAGAGTTTTCTAATTGTTATTTAAGGAATGGTAGGCTGCATGATAGCAGCATCATGGTTGAATTACAAAAATTATCTTAAATTTTATACAATGAATTACGAATTGAGCCATACATGTTTGAAAAGGTTATTAAATTTACTTTCCAATGAAACAAGCATAATTGAATTTTGAGTATCTTATGAATAAATATATAATTTTTATTAGAAAGTATACATGTTGTCGTGGATTATAAAAATTATTACAATTAATTACAAGAAATTAAAAGGTGGGCCATATATGGCTAGAAAGCTTATCAAGTCTAGTTCCTAACACATAATAAAGATCTTAATTTTGAGTTATATATCTTAAGACATGATCATTTTAGTGAAAGTAGCACAGGCTGCCAAAATTAGTTAGTTGAATTAACCTTTATATAACTTAGTTGTTTTTAGTATAAATGATATAAAAAAGAATTGATTAATTTTTGATATGTTGAAATGATCTTGAATAAACCGCGAATTATTTTGAAGAATAAACTAAGTAGTGAAATTGAAAAAAGGTAAGTAAAATCTCACATATTTTACTTATTTTTGAATCTATGTATATAAGTATGTTTTTAAATGAGTAAATGTTTTATTTCTTTATTTTTGATATATGAAAATATGAACAAATATATGATTATTTTGTGTTTTTGCTATGTAAATTGTGGATTATGCTTTTGAATGAAATGGAAAAATGATTTATGTTTAAAGAATGATTTTATGATAACTACGTTTTTACATTTCTGAAAAATGAGATCATCGACACCAGAATTAATTTTACGACCCTGGCTAATAAGTTATAGTAATTAACATAACCATGAGCATTTGGCCCTGCTAACGGGTTATAGTAGTTAGTTATAGTAGTTAGTATAAAACCTTGGTTAGGGATTATAAATAGATTAAGTCTTTATGTGATTAAGTATAAGAAAAAATTGTAAGAAAATTATAAGATGTTATGGGATAGACACCCCATAAGACTATTGGAGATTTACGTCTTATAGTTGTGTATATTTGTATATTTGTGAGTGGACTAAAGGATACTAAAATGGTCCTCATAGATATGAGTGTATAAGTGTATATGGGTTTGTATTTGTTTGGGTTGAGAATATTTCATAGAACTAGAGGAGATTGAGTGGATCTATGAATAGTAATTAATATATTTGATGTAATTATATGTTTATAATTCTCTACAACTAATGAATTTTTTTTAATTCATAGACGTATATCGATTGAACTGAATCACGTTAAATTATTCTCTCTTATGTGATTGATTAATTATTTGATTTCGCTTTCACTGATTTAATTAATTAGAGATTTTTGGTCTAACAAGTAATATCAGAGTTGTGATGATCTCCAACAAAAATAAGATAATACAAAATAAGTATCCACTCAAATGGTTAAAATTTAATTGAATAAGATTTAAATGTAAAGAATTTAAATGTAAATTTTTATGATCTTTTATTAATAAATGATTTATAAATTTAAAAAACTTTAAAAGACATAAAATTTTTTTTTGTTCTGACGAGATAACATATTTTGTTTAGAGTTGGCAACCGGTCAGGTTATGACAGATTTTTGCTCACTCAAATCAGACCCTACTTATATTCATAAAACTTGAATTCGACCTTACTCAAAATTTTTTTTATTTTTTTTATGTCTAAACTTGACCTGACTCGATATTATATGAACCATACCTGATTTGACCTAAAATTAATAAAATATTATTTTTAAATATATAAAATATTATTTTTTAAATATAATTATATAAATATATAAGTATATATAAATAATTAATTAAAAATAATTTTTATATAATATCAGATCTGATCGAATTTATCTAAAATTCAAATTCGATCCGATTTTAATTTTTTTTTCTTAACATTACTTGACCAAAAGCTCAATTTAAAAAAAAAAAATCAATCTTATGAAATGATATCAAGCTGAAACTGTCAGAGACAGATTAGGCTACCAACCTTACTTCAGTTAGTAAAACTTTTTCTCGAAAAACAAAAAATAATGCTAAAAGCGCAAAAGTGAGCTGGGTTTCTACTGGTCAAGACCCTATGTTTAGGCTTGAAAATGTTCAAGTCCAAATGGCTACAGGCCTGAGGGAGCCCAAATTCTTATGTAAAGGCTGAGTTTTCAACGAGGCCTAATGATGTCACAAGGCCCAAAATTTTTTTAACTTATTATCCCTTCTGTTTTCTCAGGAAAAATAGTGCATACTATGTATTTTGAACCAAAAAAAAAAAGAAAAAGGAAAGAGATCTCCCATAATTCTGATAAGAATCCCTCCTATTTTGGGATCTTTCCCTTAAATCATTCCTAGATTACAGTTCTTGTAACTAATAATATGTTTTTCTTAAATTTTTTCAGCATGTTTCTCTTGCTCCTTTATATTTTTAGGCTTTTTTTTTAATCTTTGATTTAATTCTTATATGGTTATACAATAAGATCACCTTCAAAATTTATCAACAATATTAATTTATACAATTTGGTTGATGGGCAAGAACATTATTCAGGATCCAGCTTAAAGAGCTTGGTTTGTAATTTGTACAAGGGAGGTCCGAACTTAACAGATTGGGAAAAACAAACTACCGAATCTCAAACCCCAAATTTACAAGAATTTACTTTAAAAAAAAT